TAACTGACACGCAGAGAAGGCTATTTGATTTTTAAAAAAAACAGTCTGAGAAATGAATGGGAGCATTGTGGTAGACAGCAGTTCATTCATGGTAAGAAGAGATTGCGATTGGCTCCTAACACCAAGGTGAGAGCCGAAATACAGACGGTAAACCAGACCAAGGGAGGAAGTAATTCGCTAATGAGAACGAGCAAAATTCTTGTCGCGACTGTAAAGCTCAAGCGATGGTTCCAATAATGCCCGATTTTGATAGGAAATGTCCGACTTTTAAATATCCGAACCGAAATGGAAGATGTTTCTAGATCAGAACAGACTGTTAGGTGAGATGGAGGCCTAAAACACAGCTCTGGCGTCGATTAAGCGCTGCAAAAACGGCTTCTCGGCGTAACAGCCGTGTTGCCGCGAAATCCCGGAGAACCAAACTACCTGCATTGCCATCGTCCAGCATAATTCTACAATGATTCAGTTACCGCAGGGTGCCGGCTTTCGAAAGACTTTATTTTAGACTGCACGCAAGAACTATACTCTGCAAAAAATGATTACTTAAGTAGCATGCAATTTTCTCATTTATTTTAGATGCCCTTGAAAATAATATTATATTTCATGGAAAGAATGCATAAAAATACTCACTTTTTACATATTCGGTAGAAAATCACATCTTCCAATTTTATACTCGAAAGAAGAGTATAATTCGGTTGTAAAAAACTTTTCCAACTCCGGAATAATTTTTAACCCGACCTGCTGTTGCACTTGCATTCACGGTTTCCAAACTACAAGCCGTATATTTTCCGTGTACGGAAAACCATACATTTCTCTACGGTATTAAGAGGAGACCATACAGGGTTCGTAAAATTATGCAGTGGATTTAAACAATATTATTAACTTTACAAGCCACATTGGTAAATGCAGATACATGACGTTTTATGAACGCCCATTTCACGGTATTAAAATATTTCACAATTAGAAACTTTTTGAAATCGAATTATACCCCTCCTTCGAGTAAAAAATTGAAAGAAGGCGTTATTTGCTACCGAATAAAAAAAAGAATGAATATTATTCTGCATTTCTTTCATGAAATATAATTGAAATCCTAAGAGCCTAGAAAATCAGTGAGAAAATTGCATGCTCCTTAAGTAGTCATTTTTCGCAGCGTATAGTTCTTGCATGCAGTTGGAAATAAGTTCGTTCGAAATAAGGCACGCTGAGGTAACTGGATCATTAGAGAATTATGGCGGACGTTGATAAGTTTTCCAACCATACTAAATTAATCTTTTCGACACGAGAACGCATTTCGAAATGTCGGTTGACATTTCATGAGTTAGCCCACCTACTGTACGTTCGCCCAGCGTCTAGAGCAATGACTCGCCGAAGAGGTCGGCATCCATATTAACGCCGAACTTCGGAACCCTCTCCCGACCATTGCAAACACTAGCCCCTCGATCGCGAAGAGCGAGTTACTCCTCTAGCTACATGCAATCTAGGGCAAAGCCTTCCTTGTGGGCTGGCCAGTGCGAATGAGTTTGCTCCCCAGGCAGAGGGGTTGCTGGCGGATAATTGGCTTTTAGAGGGCTGAAGGGTTACCGGTGTCTGCCCTTAGAAAACCCGGCCCGCAATTCTGTCTCAACAAAGTGTCCTCGTGAGTGGACTACAAGGCTCGTTGACGGTAGCGACAGTGCCAGGCGCCCGTAATCACCACGAAAATTGAATAAGTCCCTACCAATGTTGCAGTAGGCCACGGATGCGCGCCAACCAAACAAAAGAGAGGCTGTGCGAGTGTGACTGCCGTCATCGTTTCTCCTGGAGGTACAGTGAATAGGCACTCTAAACAGTCATCTAGCAGTGCCTTATAATAATGATTGTTTTAGCGGTGGCGTTTGCGCCTGGCTCACACCGCCTACTTTTCAACTTTCCGCATTTGCTGATGCAATTGACTGTTTATCAATATGAATGGGGAGCTCAAGGGCGAAAGTCTCATTCCCTTAATAAACTGACTTAAATTAATGCGCGAATTTGTAGAAAATCCATCGGAACAGACCACTTCAGGCACGGTCCGAAATTTGATATGAATATTTGATCTGAAATCCACCCAGCCACTGGGGAGTAACCGCGTAATATTCACAAACCGCCAACAGGCGGCCAATAGTGTAGAATTGTGTAATTATTTACCGTACAGACAACACAGGTACTAGCTTAAAGCCCAGACACGCGTGTTCCGCCGATCTTGTGTCGCTGCCTGACGCAGCTGCGAGGGGTTCGGCTCGTCAGTGGGTCCCCCAGCTTCCCCCGTGTGTTTTCTGGTATATGAACTCCAGTTTCAACTTGCCTTGTTTAATTTCCGAGGAAATTAATGCGCGAACTTGGAGTAACTCTTTCGAAACGGGCCTTTTCTGACACGCTCCAAATTTCGATATGAATATTTGATCTGAAATCCACCCAGCCACTGGGGAGTAACCGCGTAATATTCACAAACCGCCAACAGGCGGCCAGTAGTGTAGAATTGTGCAATGATTTACCGTACTAACAACACAGGTAATAGTTAAAAGCCCAGACACGCGTGTTCCGCCGATCTGGTGCCGCTGCCTCAAGCAGCTACGAGGGGTTCGGCTCATCAGCCGGCTCCTAGCCAGTACTTGTGTCGTCAGTACGGTAAACAATTACACAATCTTCCAGCCGCAAAACCCACTCAGAAACCACACACGGAAGACTGGGGGACCCACTGATGAGCCGAACCCCTCGCAGCTGCGTCAGGCTGTTGGGAGTGCCTACACTCCCAAAAACAAGAGCCAGCCAATCACGGGAGGCCACATGCGTTTTCTCTACTGCGCTGTCATCATAATCGTGGCGCCTCTCCATTGGCTTTTCCTCGCGGGCCTGATCGATCAGCATATTCGAATTATCGATCGGCTCGTCTCGAATGTTCTTCCCGATGGGCATTGGTCGAACGCCGGCGAGGCACAGTAGGGCGTTATAAATATGCGTTACATCCAGTTAATTTTGACTTGCAATTTCCTAATACACAGTTTCGTGGCCGGTCGCGTTCTCCTTCTCTGCCGCGTTGGTATTGGGGACAAGGGTCGAGTGCGCATACGCTCCACAGGATTTCACGTACCAGGTGGGTCATAACACAGGCAGCGGCACAGGACCGGTGAGACACGTGTCTGGGCATCCAGTTAGTACCTGTGCTTTCAGTATGGTAAATAGTTGCAAAAGTCACCTAAAACACTAGAACGACGAAGGTGACCCTCCCCCCCCCCCGCCCTCTCGGTAGAAAGCATCGGAGCGAAGTTGGTACAGGTGTTCGGCTGACAGATTTTAGGGAGTGCAGAGAAACCGCATGCAAAAGAAACCCTTCATCGTTCGTAATACAGATGGCCTCGGACTAAATTCCGGGGAGACTGACATTAGCCACAAGCTTATCTCTAAAGTCTGCGTCTTAATCGCTTGAGGGATCCCCACCCTTACTCAAACGTCACGTAAAAAGCCGAGTCAGCCGCGGAGCAATGTCCTCGGCAAAACAGTCGAATTGCACCGCTCAATTTTAAGTGCATAACTACTTTCAGAGCATTACAACCGCACCAGTGGCGGCCCACGCCTTCAACTGCCAAGGGTTAAAAGGAGAAAGCCAGCCGACTAATTTTATCGTTCCGGACTCTTGAAGAACACTTGCCAACGAGAATGACAGCCCAGCCACAAGCAGTAAGTTCTCCGGCGATTGACTCGTACAGCGGTCTGGAAGACGCCATTATGCGCATCCTTTAACATTCTGCGCCATCTGACGTATCGCCACTTCGCCTGCAACTGGCGAATCTGGAATCAAGCCCCCACCCATGAATGACTCCTTAAATTAGCGCTGGATGACCCACGCACGTGATGAAAGAAGTGGCAAGTGGAGGTTCGCGCCCCAGCTCCAAATCATCCGCTCGGTACTATCGGAATTTAGGGCCGTTTATAACTTAATGGTAAAGGGTGCCAAGTGCACACCGCTCACTGCTGTGTGTGTGTCATCTTGCTGTGGTCAGCCGGTATGGCAGTCGTTAAGCATTATGTTGTGTGATTTTTATCACAGCATATGTGCTGGCTAGAAGCCCAGGCAGGTGCTTCGTCATTATTCTGCCAGTGCACGACACAGTTGCAGGGGGTTCGGTCCATCACTGGGTCCCGCGGTGTCAGTACGGCAGAGCACGCAACAGGTGTATACTGCTGGTTGTGTGTGTGTGAATACGGCACGCTTATCTAACTGAAGTTGGGAAATTTCGGCTGAAATATTTATACCAACTTTCGGAAGGGGCCTATAAAGCTTCCCCTCGGATAATCTACTCCAGGCTAGTGCATCGGTTTCTGCGATTAAAAAGACTGAAAGTCATAAAACCGCCTACAGACGGAAGTCCGTAGATGAGAGATAAACCCGTCCCCCGCACGCGGTCCCAGAGGGCCGATGCCTTCAGACTAACCCAGTCTCCAATGGCACACTAATAGAATCCAGGGGGTTCTCCCCTCCCCCCCCCCATCACTGACGTCGAGTAATTAAAACGCATAAGGCGATCAGGTACCCCCACACTACTATTTTACTGTGCTTCAGTTCTACTCGCTGACGTAGCAAACTCTAAGAGGCAATGGAAAGTTGAACGTCGGCCGTCCTATGCTCTGCGCTGGCAGGATAATTACTCTAGCAGGCTACAGATCTGCCCACTGATCTAACAATTTCCCCTACGACATCGGGGTTGCTAAGGTGTGCCGGTGGCAAATGGCCGGTTTATACCCGTTCACACGAAGCACAGCATTCAGCAGGGCCGCTTCTTCGACGTAGTCAAGACGTGTCTGTCGGCAGCCAGGTGTGCACTCGAAATCGCCTGACCCAGGTAAAAAGCAATGGCGACAAGAGTGTACGGCGCAATATCCGACGGCTGAGAGGTTGCTATTGGCGAGAACTCTGGCCCTTCGTAAAAAAGGATGCATTTATGGTATGGGTTATGACTGTACAGTTGGAAACTGCCGGGAAATTACTTCTTGGCATAAGTAATGGTCATCGCGTGGGTTGGGGTGAGCTTAAATCCGTTGTAGGCTGCCTTGGCCGCAGTAGCCTGGTTCTCCGTCTCGTATTCAACAAAACCAATACCGCCAACAGCCCTCCTGGCTTCCTGGAAGCCAGAGAACTGACTGAAAAGCATGGTGAGCATGGCATCTGTTGTTTCCTCCGGTAGATTGCTGACAAAGAGGACCCGATTGGGAGGCTCGGCTTCAGCAGCTTCCATCTGAAAGGATGAAAAGAGAAACATCAATTGCTACTATACGTTAATTGAGTAAGAGTTAATGCTAAAATACATTTTTGAAGTTGCGAAAATTGCCCTAGACGGATCCATAAGGCCTACTCACATCAATCTGTGGGGTGGCCGCCGCAGCTGCCTGGGCGCGTTGAGCAAGCTTCCTGCGACGTCTCTTCTCCTTCTCTTCCTCACGCTTCTTCTGAGTCTCCGCGGTAACACCCATGAGGATTTTGATTTGCGTGGAGTTCGTCTTCGCGTACTGGATTCTCATTGGCTGGTATGAGGACAGGGGAGGCAAATCAAAAAAGTTGTTAAAAGGAAGGACTCGAGTGCAAGTAGAACAGTAGCGCCAGAATTCAGTGATATTTCACGGCAGGAGTAAGCCACTCGAAAGAACCTTCCGGGGAATAAAGAGTTCCATCCGAAAAACAATACTTACGAATGCCCGCAGAAAGTTTTTCGGAAATAGACAGCGTATGTAAGCCACTTTTCGTAAAAGTCGCATTCATCATAAATGTACACACTTTAACAAGAAATAGTCGGTTATGCGATAGGAACTCTTCAAGCACTAGATTAGAGGATCATTTTGACGCTTAACAACCTTATCATCCTCGGTGGTATTTCATATCGCTATTTCCAGTTCACTTAGCCAGAACATTTAAAAATAGTGAGTGACTAATCATGAAATATTGGCCGGAATTCTGAAATGCGTTTTTGATTAGGAAGGATTACTTAGATGAGGTTGTATTATTGATTACTATGCGGCATAATCCTATAATATTTCGGACTCGCCAGGATGTCGGCTTTTGAATGCGATTCTTTTCGACCTGTAGAAAAATGCACTCGTTAGAAAATGACTACTTAAGTAGCATGCATGTTTCACATTGATTATCGGTGGTTTTATAAATTCTAATATATTTTAAAGGAAACATGCACAAAAGATGATTCATATATTTGATTGGTAAATAATCACATTGTCTTTACATTTTATATCCAAAGAAAGTATACTTAGGTTTTGAAAATTGTTCCTAATTCCCGAATAATTTTGAACCCGATCAGCCGTTGTGCTAGCGTTTAGCGGTTTCAGTCCACAAAGTGTATACTTTCCGCGTAAGAAAAATCATACATTCCTCTATGCCTTTAAGAAGATACCAAATAGAGTTCACAAAATGTTGCAATGGATGTGGACTATGTTGTACACTTCATGAGGACAGGTACGATGCCGCATGAATGGACACTGCACAGTCTTCAAAAATCTCATAAGTAGACATTTGAAACCTAAAGGCGCTCTTTTTCGATTATAAGACGTGAAAATGGCGTGATGTTCTACCAAATGAATAAGAGAAAGCATATTTTTATGCACAAAATACTCGAAGTTATAAAACCGTCGAAAATCAGTGCGACACCCGTGCTACTTAAGCAGTCATTTCCTACCAAGTGCGTTTTCTACAGGTCGAAAAGAGTCGAATTCAGAGGCCAACATCCTGGCGAGTCCGAAAAATTCGAGGATTATGCCGCAAGATAATCAGTAATAACAACCCCACCTAAGTAATCCCTCCTAGTCGAAAACGCATTTCATAATTTCGGCCAACATTTCACGAGATCGGCCACTCACTGTATGTAGGCCTGATGTCGTCTAGAAAGTTAAAACAAAATTTGTGGGCAGCGCCGTCACGTAGACGCGAGTGAAGGCATGCAAGGTCGGGCAAGCAACCCTGGCGTGCTTGACTATCAGCCCAGGTCGAAAGTCGAGATCTGGTAGGTTAACTAATAATTCAGCCCCGATCTGAACTTCAAAGCAGGCCACAAATACACCTTACTGCGGTCTTTACGGTAAATCGCTTCGATGAAATAACCACGATTCGCCTTGGAGACTGTTTCGTGTAAGGATCAGAACCACCATGTGCGGGGCACGCGTAGACAATCTATTCGGCCTTTAGTCCCTGCTGACGGTCGTTCTGACAATACCTCTTCAATGAAACGTGGGTGTGAAAAGAGGAAGCTGGGTAGGTTCAGCACGACTTTATTATAGAATTATGCTGCATGATGGTTAATCTAACAACCCTACTTAATTCATCTTTTCGAAACGAAAACGCATTTCGAAGTTTCTGATTAGAATTCATGAGTTGGCCCACTTACTGTACGGCCCCAAAATGACTGCACGTTTTCCTCTTACTGTGTGTCAGCAATTTAGTCAGACGATGAGTTAAATGCTACAAGGGATTGTAGCGGCCCTGTATTTAAGGGTCTGCCGGCAAGTTGGTCCACATCCGGCCTGCGAATTAGTCGGTGGTCAAATTAGCAAGAGAGGATATAAGAGCCCTCTAGAAAGAGAGGCTTCGTAGTAAATGGCATTCACCAGTCCATAGCGATTGCAGATCGGATTCACAGCGTGCTCTGCAATAATCATTTCTTACATTTTGACCGTGGTTAAGTGTTTCCTCTTAGGCCTCAGACTAGATTCCTTTCATGAGCTCCCATGCAGGGTCTGCAGCCCACACGTTTTACTAATTTACAAAAGTCTGATTTGCGTATCTGTGCGGTTTCGTGCCCTACAGTGCTGCAATAACTCACACAGACAGCCCTTCGTCTAGATGGGCCGAAATGGTTTTGTCATTTGGAAAATACTGCGCAATGACATCGAAAAGACTATCACCCAATATACATTTTCAGTTTTTGAACATACGCAACATTGCCCATAGAAGCGAAGAGACGAGACCCAGGAATTAGTCTTGAAGGAGACACGATCGCCGCTCTATCGGCGTGTCGAAACGCACTGCAGTGAGCCGGAAGACAAAATTGCCGAACTACAATACCTCCGACGGGTCTTCAAAGCCAATGGCTACCCGCGCAACTTCGTCGACCGGTGCATACGCAAAAGGGACGAAAGGCTTAACCGCACGGACACCAAATCTTGGCGGGCACTTCCGTATGTGAAGAACGTCTCGGAAGCTGTCGGCCGCCTTCTCGCACCACTTGGGGTTGGAGTGGCACACAGACCGGAAGCAACCATCAGGCGTCTGTTCATGAAACCGAAAGACCCACTGCCACGGATAGAAACGTCTGGAGTCGTTTATCGGATCTGGTGCAGTTGCGGACAAAGCCACTACGTCGGAAAAACCGGAAGACAGCTCCGAACGAGAATGGCCGAACACGCGGCAGCGGTGCGCAGAAATGACGCCAGCTCCCAAGTGGCGGCTCATTCGACGAGATCCGGCCACACATTCAAATTCGATGAGGCCGAAATTCTCGCAAGATGTGACAACCGCTTGAGCCGGGAGCTACTGGAATCATGGTTTACTGGCCCCCAGTCCACCAACAAGTGCAACGATCTTCCCACTCCATACTGCGTGCTAAAACTTCGCCTAGGCGGAGTAACAAGCCATGCGGGGAGCGCAGAGGTGAACACTTTTCCCAACACCGGGGTCGGTGCGTCAGATGGTCGAGCAATCATCACGCCAACATCCAACGCACGTGATGAAATTGCAGCAATTGTCGACTCGAATGTCGGCCATCAAGCGACGATCAAACCAAGTGCGACGATTCCGGATGAAGGGGGGAGGCGTGAATGTTCATAGGTATGCGGTAGCATGGTTACGGCATCCTATAAATACCGCAGCCCCTTGTGCAGCAACACCCATTTCTGCTTTTTTGTCTCTGATGATGGATTCGAGTAGGAATCCGAAACGTCAGGCTAATAAAGCTCTTGTCGCGGCGATCGTGTCTCCTTCTTCAATACACAACATTACTTTTCGTGCGGTCTAGTTTCTGCATTTATGTCAGCGATCGGCCTGGTAACATCTGATATTATGAAAACTTTTATCCATATGACGTCCCTATCGGCGAAATCAAGCAAAGTCCTGCTTACCTTAGTGAATCGCATCTCAGTTAATGCAAAAGCAGGAAAATAGAAGGAATTCTCGGGAAAGCGTTTTGAAATCTATACGCAAAATGTAGATGGTTGGTAAACCGCCATACCCAGCATTACACTAATTCTTAAAAGATATTTCAATGTAAATACTATTTCTAAACGTTATTCCATTTGTATTGTCATATTTGCTGTTTTTTGCGTTGACAGACATTCCGTACATCTGAAACTGAAATTTACTCAACTACAACCATTTAAGACATTTTGGCAATTCTCCGCTTTTCTGGTATTTCTAAACAACGCAATACTACCATCAATATTTCTTCCACGTTACCCATTCCCTTAACGTTGTTATTGACCAATACAGATATCGGCTCCATGCATTGCTGCCGTTTTGCGAGAACTTACTTGTACTTGTACGGCTGCGATCATGTCTGATCTAGCCGGCCTCGATGATGTCCCGAACTGTACCTCTCCACGCGTGACGATCCGCGGCATCGGTTAGCGAGTGATCACTCGTAAATTCCGACACCTTTCATCAGATAGTTCAGCGAAAGCTTTATGTAATCAAGACCATTTATGTCTCGCTTCTGTGAGGACTCACAATCGTCGCCTTCTACACTGGGCGCCTGATGGGAGTGCAACTGGATTACAATGGAGGAACGACGTGCATAGCACCGCTCTCACACTTTCAGAACACTCACAATATTAAGACTGGGTCAAAAAGAATGCAGAAGGGTTTGGACGCAGTTACCGACTTGACATTAAACTCTGCCCATAAAAAGTTTGGTCCTGCCCCCTCCCCAACTGAACTTCATGGGCAAATTCTTCGGCGCTGGATGACTCTCGGATTGCCCACATCTACATCTACCCGGTGGTCAGAGCGGGTCCAGGTGGAGAGTGCGGTAGATGCGTCGCAAGTCTACTATCGCTTTAAACTAACTCACGCGCAAGTCACCGTCTCTGCTGCCACCCTGCCGTAGAGCATACGGTGGACATCGTCGGCAATGACGGTCGAATCGTCGTATAACTCAGTGTTGGTTTTGATTTTGTGGAGCTCCGTGGTTACTGCGATTTGACGCTGATCCGTGGACTATAGCTGACAGCTGGGTGGTCCCTAGTGGACTGGCCACCCGGTGCGCAATTGGTCTTCACCACACAACAGTCAATCCAATCAAAGCGACCATCCCCGACCTGGACACCTCATACGCTCTCTCGACGGGTTCAACAAGTGCGGAGGTAGTCTTCTCTTAATGAAAGAAAGCACGAAGACTAACCTTTTGAAAGAACTGGAATCCCTGAAGCACACGAAGGGCACTTGTGGCCGAATTGATGTTCTGGTAGATGATGAACGCCTGTCCCCGCATCTTGGGCGTCTTCATGGCAATTATGTCGATTATGCGACCATGTTGACTAAAGAGGTAGTAGAGGGCCCGCTTGAGGTCTGTTTTGCCTAATTTATCATTTAAATTATTGACATACAGCGTGTGGTTTGGCCGCAGGTCCATTACACTGAAAGGCGATAAATAACGGAGGTAAAGATGACATTAGTGGGGGACAGTCAGACGAACAACAAAAATGACTAGTGAGCAGTAAGCTTTTTTTCAGCATTTTTATATAACAACATGGAGGTGTATTCGATGATGGCAGAAGAGGGTCATTTCTTGGCAAAGGTTATGCGCAGTGGATGGCCAGGACGGATGTTGAAGCCCTGCAGGCCATGTTTTGCCGTAGCCGCCTCCATCTCGTTGACAAACTCCACGAAGGCAATGTCGTGTCGTCCCGGCACCATGCGGACCTCTCGAAAACCGACAAACTGGTTGAACAGCATGCCCAACATGGCCTCGTTGGCGTCGTCAGGTAGGTTAGTAAGGAAGAGGATCTTATTGGGTGGCTGGTCAGGAATGCTGGCAGGGTTGATGGGAGGTGGGTGAGGGGCAGCGGTGGTGGCGGCGGCTGCAGAACCCGCACCCGGTCCCGGTGGCGGAGGTGGTACGGCAGTCCCACCGTTCTCCTGGCCTCCAGCAGCAGCCGCGGCGGCCGCTGCAGCAGCAGCTGCCGCCAGACGTTGCTGTCTGCGACGAATAGCACGCGCGCTGCTTCCGCCAACCAGAGCCACGTCCGTCACCATAGGGACACCGGGTTGGGGTTGAGTTGGTGGCGGTGGTGGTGCTTGGCGCTTAGGTCGCTCCACGTACGTGCCCTCGCGTTTGGCAATGATATCGGAGTTTTTGAGGGCAAACTGGATGCGCATTGGTTTCTCGTAGAGTGGAAAGCCCCGCATAGCCTCCAGGGCGTTGCGAGCACTGTTTAGATCATTGAAGACTACGAAGGCTTGGCCGCGCATCTTCAGAGACTTGCCTTGAGTTCGGAGCAGACAAGATAGGGATGTAAAAAATGAGGGCGGACGTCAAAAAGGGACGGAGAGGGGGGGGGGCGAAAGGCGTTCTTGTAGTGTAAACAATAAAATTATGGACATATGCTTCTTATGGCCATCAGAGATTTGATGATAAGGTTGATTATTTAGATCGAAATATGACATATCACACACTATTCACCGAGTACCACAGATGAGTTGGGTCCTTCTGTGACGAATCTTAGCGAGGGGATTACTTCTACCTGCCCCAAACCGCTTTTTGCTGACACGAAAACGGCCCACGGCAACGGCACTTCCACCTCGACATATGTGTATTACCAAAGGCTCACTCATTATCCCTTCGTGAATAATGCGTGTTCATCAGATGTCCCTACTTAAATTTATTAAGTAACCGTTATATACTTCAAATTTTATACCCTTCGGAGTGCAACCACGCATCTCAAAGACGGATATCCAGCTCTAAACTGAAGTCTGCGAACTGACAACTAAACTGAGCAAGACGCGCTTTCGCATCCGTGACCGAGACGATCTAGAAGCGGACAGCGCGAACGCGAGCAAAAGGTATTAATGCCCTTTGTCGGTCGGGCGATGAGTATGGCCAAACGTTACAATGTGGAATGCGACGTGGCTTGCTAGAACCTCGGTCGCATTTGACCGCTCTCTCAGATTAGTTCGAGGGCAGCACTAGAAGTGTTACACGCTTCTACTATTACTAGCAATAGGTGACCTAACTCGCTAATCATTAACTAAAATGGCTACCTGGGCAGCGTACATTTCACCGTTGATTTTGGCTGCCTTTAAAAAGTTGACCACAATTTGCACAGAGTGCATAAAAACATCTCTTAAACTCCTTTTGTAACAAGTTAGGCCCTCTTGACGGATGAGCATTTTTTGATTTTTTCTTTTTATAAATCACTAAAACTGCTTTTGGAATAAACAAAGTGGTCCATACCTACTGAACATTTTATGGGCGGTAGATGACATCTCCCTAATAGCATAGAGGAGTTATTGATCAATATTTGACAAACGACCTAAGCAATCCCTTGTAACCTGAAACAATGTGATATTTCGTGAGTTATGTCAGCTATTGTGGGATTGTTTAAGGCACCTACTCTGGGTTGTCACGGACTCACTGCATTGGCTAAATTCGGAAACATCCCGTGTGCTCACTTCGGTCAGGCCTGTGGTGTTACGTTCTCTCACCAGTCCTGTCGATTAGACGATGTGCAGTTTGTCTAATTTGGACGCGCCAGCCTCTTCATCCACATTTTGCACTGTTCCACCCTTATCCGCCCCGCCGGGAATTGACTCACCCGGCACGCAATCCCCAGAACCTACCAACAGGTTACTGTCAGGTTGTTCATCATTACTGACGCGGCTTGTTCCACGCTGCAGCTTTACCACGGCACTGCAGTTGACGGTCAGATTCCCGAGCGAAGCCTAGACAGCTGACACGCCATTCCTGCGGTCTATAGGAGAATTAGAGGTGCGGCAGGATTCAGCTATCACTGTGTTTGCCCATGTCCTTTGCTAGACACCTCGAATTTACTGCCAGCCAGGGTGCAGCTCGGACGAGATGACATAATGGACAACTTCTTACTCTGGTCGGTGAAACGCGGTAGAGCACCTACAAAGGCGAAGGAGGGCTGGATGGACATTTCAGTCTGACTAGCTCAGTCTTCGTACTAGATCCACGTCGATGACATAAAGATAGAGGAAACAGCATATACGCATGTAAATGGTCTTTTGGTGGAGTTCGACAGAAGATAACCCACCAGGCCCAGTTCCATCGCTTACAGTTGCATAGCCAGCATCTACGACCGAGAAATTGAAAAAAACCATCCTCGTTTTGGAGGAATTTGCTCTCAAGCTCCCTTTGTGTTTCCAAACCCATTTGGGATACTGCGTACTGCAAGTCTGCAGTGCCGGTTTGCTTTTAGCGAACTTTTAAGTCTAAATAAAAAAACAACTTCGGAAAAATGAAACGGCGGTTGTCGAAGTAAAGCGCAGTCAGGCATAAGGCGAAAAGAAAACGGTAGCAGGGTCGGGTTGAAGTCGACTGTCGTAGCAGTCTTAATGCAGAGAACATACCTGTAATTATGTCCAGGATCTGACCAAACTGGACAAAAACAGCATACAATGACTTCTTTAGATCATCAAGCTTGATTTTTTCATTCAGATTGTTGATGTAGATGGTGTTGTTCGGGGGCAAATTGGGGATGGCTGTATGGAGAGCTTGGGCGGCGGATGGGATGGCGTGGGCTACGCCAGGAAGCATTGTTGGTGGGATAGCCCCGAGACTCATCGTTTTCTGCTTGAGGTCAATGAAAAATGATGTCAACGAAAGTGAGTGCGATAAACTAACCAACTATACCACAAAAAGCTCACGGGAGCTCCGGCAGTTGTCAGAAACAACAACAGGCTCGCAAAGATTAGAAGACATTGGTCAAAAATACCTGTGCAAGCCGTGCAGCATAAACAAGCAAGGCTGGTTCGGTGTGAATGTAGACGTAATTCTTGCTACTGCCAGTTGAATTACAGGACAAACTTCCAATCTGACATGCGCCGAAAACATCGAGGTTTCTATTTAACTACCCTGAGCCTTAGTTTGGGCTTGCTGATGGAAACATCGTGGACTCGCTCGAGTGGCAAAAATCGTAATATGCCATTAAACAGCGCTCCTTAAATTGTCTAGACCAGGCGTTACTTAAGTTGCCATAACACTATGTAGATTACAAGACGAAAGGGCGGATTCGGAAGTTGGGAGTCCTTTACAAAAAAAGTCTTAGTGAGTTTAATTTTAAATATCCTTGTCTAACACATAATCACTCATAGGCTATGACGGAGAAGTGATGGTAGTGGGCAGAAGACTCGTCGCACAACGGTTCTCCATTTACTCTTAATAGGCAGACCTGGATTATTAATGATTTAGAAGCGAGATTATCCCCGTGATCGTTTTTCAAAAGGCGGTATTTTAACACCTTAAATGACAAAAGACGGAGGACACTTTGCCTTAATAGCCAACGCTAACATGTACCGCGAAGAATTGGTTCCACCAAAGACCCCGTTGTTTCTAACATGCAGACTCAGTTCAATAAAGGCAGATTAGTTTTCCTTCAAAGACAAAAAGGGGGACGCTTGGATGTGGACCCATCTGATAATGATGGCGCGCACAGCAATCAATTAAGAACTGAAATCGGCCTTTAAAAGGGAACAAGAGATATAGTATCAGGACGAAGATCATGCTTGCAGAAAGATCGTCTGCTGCGTAGTAAATAGGGAAGAAATTCCGACCAGCTGCGATGTCTTTTGGCTATAAACTAGTTAGTTTGAAACTCCTTAAGACTATGAGGAGAAAGGGGAGAAGATGGACAGTGATTATTCATAGGCAGAAAGGGTGAATTCGACAGAAGAATAAGTTATGGGAGATCGTCAACACAGCTTTATGTCGTCCAGTTCGTATGATGCGAAAGCCAACAGACACTAGTCTTGCAATACGGGTGCGGTCAGTCGAGAATAAGCGTCCCTACACTATGGCATCTAGGTGGACATTAACACACTGAACAAGGCCCTCAAAGTATATAATAGTGGTTAATACTAAGAACGCGAATCTCGTCATTCAGAAAAGACAAGGCCGCGTATAAGAAATCAAATATCGCGAAAAGTAAGCACTTCATTAATCACGAAGATATAGGCTGGTTGACGAGACGGTATCATTGAAAAAAAGTGCAAAAATGCATGGGGGTAAGCGTCGGGGAGGGGGAATGGCAGTGAGGATCATTTTCCCGCGAAAACTAAGCACCATCGGTCAATTAGATTACTGGCTCTAGATTAGCCCGCAAATCAAAGCGATTGGCAGATGTCTAGCCCCGGGCGCCAAAATGCTATCAGGACGGAAAACCGCTGAATCATCTTTCTCTGCCCAGTCATCCTTTGGGCCCCATTTATGATATGCTTAATTATATGCTGTTTTCCCGCAAACGTGTATTTTTCTACATATTCAATGGCCTAGGGCACCTGTGTCCAATCAACAGCACATGCAGTATACCGGACGCTGAAAACTTCGGCGGAGAAACGCACGACTGCGTGCCACATAAATCAAAAAGGTCTCCGAATATAAACGAGTAAATAAGAACAATATTTGAAGAACGGCCGCTAAACACGCATGGCATAAAAAGGGTGGCAGACGACATCATTACGCACTCACTTAACTACAATACGCCCGGCTAGGAGTAGGGAAACAATTGATTGATTTAAACAAACACCTCGTGTTCAAAGGTTGAACTGGTCTGAGGTTTTGCTTACCTAAACGTGACCGAACGGATTATCCTGGATAAGTGCACATTAAGCAAAATGGTAGGGGCAGTCAAAATAAGGATAACTAATAGTGTCGAAGAACATAAATGCTATCATAGAAGAGGTTTTTGGATACTGAATCGTTTACTAAAAGTTCTCAGGATTTCGTCGAATCTTCAAGCGCTTCTGGACAAACCAGGGACTATCCAAAACCATATTTTCTGCCATGATGCAAACTTCACGCTGACTGGTGGCTGTAATATATTCTATGGACGTTTGGCTCTATGGCGCTCAAATCAGCCAAATGAAAGGTTCGGTCGAATTCCGCAAGAAATTCATACACCTTAAAACATCTAATGTATGATTTGCCCAGTAAAAAACCTGCTTAAGTGTTAGGTGTTGGGAACGTTAAAAAGCAACGGAAACAGCAGTGTTACCTGCTGTTTTTCGATTCCTCTAACTGGTTTGCCTCACTAAGCAGGTCTCATAATCCAGTATCCGTTGTCCCAAACGTCCAACCTACGGGGGACTGAGTATTAGTACCTCAGTGATCGGCATGCAGACGCCACACATCAAACATTAGAAGAATATAGTCTGAATGGGATGCTATTATAATAACGGGTTAGATAATAAAGGGGTACGGAAGCGGGGGGAGAAAACGGATAAGAGTAGTTTAAATCCTAACAATGAGATTACGAAAGGGGGGAACGCAGCCGGCTGCATAAACGAGGGGAGACATTAGACAAATTGGTCATTAGCGGGACCCTGGTGGTTGTTCTGGTTGTTTGTGGGCGTTGAACGTGGCCCTGAAAAAGGAAATAAAAGAATTGAGTAGCAAAAAGGTACCGTTGACTGGGTAGGTTCGTGACACTGCCCCCCATCAGGATTGAGCGCTGTCCTCAGCGCGAGTTGTACGAAGAATGACGTTGCGGGGTGCTGGTGGATTGTAAAGGGTGGTGAGGGATGTGGTCGCGTGGGAGGTCGATGGAACGGGGTGTTGGGAGGGTTGATACTCTGATAAACATGGTTTGAGCCGATTGAAATGCACCTGGATAATCCGGCCGAAGGGATCAGATTCTAGGCGAATGCGGCAGACAGAATTTGAGAGCGGTCGAAGGACGATATAGGGTCCAGACCACTGACGATGAAACTTACTGGCATACCCGGCGGGGGGTCGGTCGTTGTGCAACCAAACACGGTCGCCGGGATCGTATTGAGTTCCGTGTGCCAGATGGTCATAATAATCCTTCTGGTGGGAGTGTGCAGCCTGAAGCTTCGTTCTGGTTGTGGAGTGAATGGTTTGTAGGGAGTCAATGAGCTGCTCGAGATACCGGTGTGGTTGTGCCATTTCCGGGGTGCCGTGTGGGATAGTTACGTCAGACGGGAGGCGCAGGTCGCGTCCGAAAAGCATCATGTGGGGGCTAAATGAAGTGGAGGAGTGAATGGTGGCGCGGTAGGCCAAAAGGCATCGGGGAAGAAGATCGTCCCAGGAATCTGCACGGGACTGATCAACCATGCTACGGAGGAACGCCACGAGAGTCTTGTTCGTGCGTTCCGTCTGACCGTTCCCGGCTGGGTGGAAAGGTGAGGAGCGCGTTTTGACTATGCCGAGGAGGTGACATAGGGCACGGAATAGGTAGTTTTCGAAGGCTGTTCCTTGATCCGTGTGGATGATGTAGGGGGACCCATAGCGAGCGATCCAGTGATCGACTAGAGCCGCTGCTACAGTTAAACTTTCCGAGTTTGGGAGTGGGATGGCTTCGCACCATTTCGTGAAATAGTCGACGATAACCAAAATGAAGCGATTGCCTTTCTTAGTCTGAAATAAAGGTCCGATGATGTCTAAGCCGATGCGGTGGTTGGGGAAGCCTGCCGACATTGGTTCCAGTGGTGCTCGGGGACGAACTACAGGGTCCTTGATTTGAGCGCAAGTTTGACACGTCTGACAGACAGAAACTACGTCGCGTCGCTGATCGGGCCACCAATATCGTTGACGAACCGCGGCGAGTGTCTTGGCTTGGCCGCAATGTGCCAGTTCTTCATGGGTAGCACGGATGACTTGGGGCCTAAGAGTGCGAGGGACCACTAGACGGTTGGGAATAGAGGGGTGATGTTGGAAGAACAAGATGTTGTCGATTAGACGGCGGAAGGGCCACATAGACCAGAGACAATGGGCCTCCCAGCTGAGGCTCTCCATTTCGCGGGCGGTGGGTTTAGGGGATCCATGTAACTGGCGGTCATAGATGAGGGATACATTGGGATCGGACGCTTGCATTTGAGCCCATTGCTCCTGGGCTGCCTGTGATATTTGGATAGCTGCCACAGGAAAGGCGTCGTTCGGTGTCCTCGT